CTTATAATATCGTCACTTAACAAATTAATTACGTAGCTATTGATCTAGCGTTTACCTTTACAGTTTGCTGTTGTCCTTGGATCCCATTCCCCATCAATGCCACAAACAGAATTTGAATGGCCACTTAGTTCATACCCATCATCACAGTTGACCTCGCAACGCGTCCCAGAAACCACCTGTAACTGACCTGCACATTGTGCAGATATCTGTCCATGGCTGGGAGCTGACCACTCACTGGTGTCACAGGTAATTCCTGTAAGCAGTTTAAATTGAAAGATTCCAGAGTGATTTTATGAAGTAAGCATGATCTTTTTTTATTCTAATATCTATGCGACTCTACTTCATAAATAGCCTGTAGGTAATGTAATAAAGCACAGAGAGGGATCATTGCGAAATGCCATGCTTAGCGAATTATCTTGAAAAAAAGGGGTAATCCGTGATCTCGCCTGAATAATTTTATTCTTTTATCATACTCCTCTAATACAGGCACTGATTCCCCTCTTAGAAATAAGTCTGGAAAAGCTTGCAATTTTATTTTTTTGTGTCTTTCAGTAAGGAAGGCTCATTCAATTTATATTCTTCATTCAAACTATGAAAGAAAAACCACGTACTATCACATTTTTTCCAGTTTCCTGGAGAAATTTTGTAACCAGGGTTGCAACGACATGAGTAGGTACCATCGTAGTTAACGCATAATTGTTCGCATCCCCCGTTGCCATGGCTACACTCGTTACAGTCTATGGTGACATAGCGATTGCCAGAACAGTCACGTCCACCATGAGCTGGGGCTGGGTTGTCACAGTTTCTACTTCTGGTCTTGTAACCATTGGAACATTGTGCCTCTTCCCAGCTGGCTGGGTTCCAAGGGCCCCACTGACCATGTCTTGGTGCTAAAATACATCGAGCAGAACGCTATAACATCATTGATTATTAATAAGCAGTTAATCGTCAAATTTGAAAGCGAACTCGCTCCGAAGAACCCTGAATAAGAGAAGAATGGGGCAAAATTGATTTGGTGCAGCTCACTTTTCATAGTTTCAGAAGAAGGATGAAAAACGAAGGTTTTTGTCCGTTGCCATGCCTTATTGTGATTCAGATGTTGCCTTTTATGGTAATCGCCTTAAGGTTCTAAAAGCATTTAATTTTTGCCCTCGCCATGACAGGAAAATATGCAATTCTAGCAGTGACGTTATTTCAAGATTCCGACGGATTCTCAAGGAGATTTGCCTTCCAATGCGCTAAAGTTTCGACTACGGACACCGCGACTCCTATTTTTCCATCTGTCGCCGATCTGTTTTAGTAATAAGGGGCTAATTAAAAAGGCAATTTTTGATGAGAAATTATTTTGTACAAGAAGCAGCGCTGAAACTCGCAATGAACCCTGCATTGTGTTTATGCAAGTGATACCAGTTCTTCTCGGAATAGCAGTGTCCGCAAATTCGAACTCTGAGCACATCTAAAGACAATTTTCGAGCAGCTAGGATACTCTTGGCAATCTTGAAACCTGGAAAGCGGAAATAAGATTTTTATATACGTTGTTTCCGGTGCATATACTTTTCCTTGATAAGAACCCTTAAGAATTACTTTCTCTCGGAACTTGGTGTTATATATTTCAAAAATGTCGAATCTGAAAATTCCTCTAGCCTCAACAATTTTGCTTCGCTCGTCGAACGCAAGGTGACCAAGATTTCTCAACGCAATCTAATATTCCATGGACCAGTTTTTCCATTATTTTTCTTAGGAACCAATCAGAATTTGAGAAAACTAGGCACGCTTTGTTGACATATTGTGTTAGGTGTGCATAGTAATTAGTTGTTCGAGGTAACGCAAGGGCTATCGAAATCTGAATCGGTTGAACGCACATGATCAGCTTGCAGTTAAACTCGCCGACTTAAGTAAAAATCATTGATGTTAGATAAAAACCAATTTCCTTGCGTCCGAAGAGCATTATCGAAAATTCGGGAAGCGATTACAGGAAGGGGAAGCGTCGAGGCGAGACCTAATCAGATCAAAAGCATAATTTACTTCTGGACGGATTTCGTGACTGTTTACATTTGAATGAACGAGCCGCCATAAACAATTAACAAAGGCTGCATTTAGAATTTTTTTCTGCAGCTAAATTCGCGGTAATATCTAAACGGACACCACATCAAGCGATCGATTTAGATTACACCTATATTACTAACATTAAAAATTGTGCTGATGTTATTCTCGATGTCTATTTTAAGACTGGCTATTGAAGATGATTCATTGTCATAAAAAGCGGAAATGACCCTTTTCCGTCGCAGTTCCTAGAAAATAGATTATTCTTAGGCTGGATTACTGCAGACTATATTTAAAACAAAGTCAAATAATGCGCATAATATCCATGTGAACGTTCCTGAGTATAAGTATTTATTATATTTCCCAGGTTAGTTGGTCATCGTTGACAATAAAATTGATCAAATCCCAAGTGAACTCTCTCGGACTGACTTCCCTTTCCAGATGCTTTAATTCTCGGAAATCACGACAGTCTTGCTTTTGTTGTAAACAGGATGTTGTTGATGGAGGATTACTAACAGACATCAGAATACACGAAAACACAAACACTTAGTCGTGGCCGCATTCCATGTTTTTGTTGTCACTTACTGAGCTAACCTTTTAAAGGGAAAATGATCCTACCTAGGCGACAGTGAGAACTGAAAGTGAATGTTTATAGCTTATGACGTGATGGTTATTTTTAAGTCAGACGCATGCCTTGAACAATTCACTACCACAAAACATTTCCTCCATCTAAATTTTTACACCTAGACGATCAAATTTATAACAAGTAAACTGGAAAAAAATGGGCAGAAATTTAAGAACGGAGGTTAGGCAAGTGACTATGTCCGTGTCTGGAAATGCTTGGGGTTTCATTTCGTTTTGCAAATTGTGGGGGTTTTTCCCATGTGAACGATTCGATTCCTACTGAGCAGACATATGATTTAATAAAGCATTATATTGAGTACTCGACTTCGCAAAGCTTTCTCACGTGGATAGGTCAACAAAATGTGTAGCTAATCAATAAAAAGTCTTCATTTCGAGCTCAAAACGTCTTTTTTTTTTCAGATTTGCAGCGAAAGTGAAAGCCTTATACCATCACCGACGCTTCGTAAGCACATTCCGTGAGAAATAGAATACGTTTAGTAAAAGCTAAGAACAAATGAAAGGTTCTCTGAGAGCTGGCGAGTATTGAGCGGGAAATAAAGAATTCCACAAGAGATTTAACATATTTTTTAAGAGCTTTGTTTGTGTAAATACAATATTTGAAGGGCGCCTCTTTAATTCGTAATACGATCATTAACTGCATCGCGCGAATAACTGCGAGGACTGCAGCAAGAGAAGCGAGTCTTGCTTGATTTTTTCGCTTATTTATCCAGAATACTTATCGATATCCAACGTTTAGTAGCTTTATACAAGTCAAAAGAAAGGGATGGTCAAAATTTTGGTATCTACACATTAACTTATGTCTCCGCAGTTCTGTTCTAACAACACACTGACACCCATGACCAAAATAATAAAATATTAAAGAGTATTATTACTCACAAGGTCCGCAGCCCCCACAGCCTTCGACATGATTTCGTTTTCCACCAAAGGCGATGAATCCAAGAATTAGGATAGCGCTCGCAACAACATTCATGGTTCTCCTTTAAGGAGCGAGTTCATTAAGGAAATGATAGTGGCGGCTTGATGATTGACTGAGACGCCTGACTCTCTTTAGGGGAAACCCCCTGATGAAGATGCTGCCATACAAATAAACATAAAAAATTAGTCTGCGCGGCAACTTCATTTGCTATCGAGTGTCTGACCATGATTCGTGCACACGCTGTAAATCAAGAAATGTCTTTCTTTTGAAATAGAAGAATCGAAAAACTCCAACAACAAGTAAGTAAAATTTTAAGTAGGGGATAAATGAGTCATTGTGTTTAGGCACAAGTTTTAAAATTTGAATGCATAGAGACTTACCTATTTATGTTTTCACCTTTAAGCTAGTGCACTTAAGGCGACTTCTAGACACAAATATCAGAATACGCAGGTATTCCAAATTCTTAGGTCTAGATTTGCAATTATAATTCAGGACAAACACGTAGTAGTAGAACCGTTAAGTGCGGAATTGATAAAAATTTCTTAGAAATAATTTTCATAACAATAAAAGTGTGTGTCGCGACGTGATGCTATTCTTCAAATTGTCATATCCCAGAATCACTCTTATTTATCACAAAAATTTCTGTCTCTTCCTTTGAGAGAAAAGCAGTAAATTTGCCACTCCAAATTTAGATCGTGGGGTCGATGTAATTTGAAGAGCTATTTTGTACAACATCAGATCTCCTTTAGGCTGTAATAAAATATCACGCAATTTGTCTAGAGAGTTTTAATGGATACGGGCTATTTGCAGGAATACTATACGATGGCACTGCAACGTTACGCATAATAGCCTTGCTTATCCAAAATTTGATTCCTTAAAGCGCCCTTCAACTGCAGTTCTCTCAGCTTGCCAGTTCATTATACAGGAAAATTATGATTACTAAGCATTTCCCAATTTAAATTTGGCGACACATTGTAATGATTCTGCACGTACTGCCCGTAAGGCATGGAACTGAAAATTATTAAAATAATTTATGACCACGTAGTGCTACTTACTTCCTTAAATTTTAACGTTTATCTTTCACGCGAAGTAGAACAGATCGAGCACCATTCCAAACGTGTGAGACCAAAGCGTTCTCTACCTCAGTATAACCGGGACAAGTCCTTGAGGTTTGGAAACTGAAAGCATGCATAAATATTACCACATCGCTTGTAATTGACGCAGCAGAACAGATCACGTTACAAAGAGTTTTGTTTTCTCCTTCCATCCTCAACGTCTGCTTTGTTTTTGTAAGTTGGGTAAATTAATCTGGACCTATTGACGGTCTAATTTTGTACTTACTTCTTCATTTGATACTAGATGATTAATCTTGTTATGGTGTTGTTTTAATAGGGATCGAACTTTACAAACAACATAAGACCATGAGTGTGCTGCGTTGGATTTACATGTTGACATCCTTTCTTACGTTGCTTGACACGAAAAGGACTCAAGTAAACGGAGGTAAGATAAAGGGGGGAAATGAATACTCCTTGCATACGATCAGATCTGCAAAGTTAGTAGAGCTGGATATTGACGCGTTACAGTCACGCAGTAGTCCATGGGAACCCCATGAAAACTCCCTGCTCTTTTCACAACCACAGCATGGATTCAGTTTTGACTAACGATTGCTAAAACTCTTATGAAATTCAAATAAATACTTTCCTAAGCCGAAAATTACGTTAAACATAGCTGCAGCTGTCAGGTGGCTGTTATTAGGTAATTTGCAAATGTCTAAATCTTCCTTGTCTCCTGTCTAGAACTGTAAACAACGTGGCAGTTCTTCCTTTCGATCAGGGTTCTTAAATTTCCTAAAGTTGCTTTTCTCAGGTCACTGTTACTTTCTGGTTATCAAAATTTCAATCCTGCCTGGACTATGCAAAGGCATTGAACACGAAAATAGTAAATAAATAAACACCAGTTCTTTCACGGTTAACTTACCGATCCGAGGAATTAAAATATTATTCATAGACTCAAAGAAGGCTGGCATATATATTCCTTACAATAACTCTTCAAACTATTAGGATCAAAACTTCTGAAAGACTATCACTCGCAACGGAAATTGTAAACAGTCACTTCACAAAGGGAGGAGTGGGTCTGTAGTTTCGAGAAGTTAACGGAACAAGTGATCGACACCGGAAGTTGAAAACATGCTGCACAAACCTAATAATGGGTCAATGAAATCACGGCCTCTACAAAGCCAGGTTCCACCAATCGGTCCCATTCCCAAGCATGTGGTTCACTTGAGGGTCTCAATGGGCTAATGGCTTTTATAGCTAACCATTAAAATTTGGGCCATTTTACGGCGAATGGTTGATTTCTTTTCGATGCGATTGCAAGAAAAAATTTTACAGTTAGGTTTTTTAAGAATCACAGTTAAACCTTATCAGTTTTTACGCCTGACGGCTAATTTCTTTGCCGTTTTAGGGCTAACGGTTGACCCCATTGAGACCCTCTCCTTTGGTAATGAATTTACCTCTATTATCACTTTCCATTCTTTAATGACAGAAGAGGCAAATCCAATGCTTAGTTATTTAGATATTTCGTTCAAAAAAGATTTCAAATCATGATTTTTTTCCTAACTACTTTACGACCTTCCGGAAATTACATTTAAGACCACTGAAGATAATTCCATGTATGTTTTACGTTTTAACTTTAACTACAATGGTATTCAAGTCTAACCACCAATGTTTTTTGTCCCCCCATATTTATTAAAGGGGTAAGTTTCGAAGGAAACTGTGGTACTGCGTCAGCGGGAGAATATAACAGGGTAATTTGTTATTTTCAACTGAGTTGATAATATGAATTGGCCACAGCAAAAAGTTTCAAAGCTGAACTTTCGAGCATCAGCCCTTCAACAGAGCGAATGGAGAAGGGCTTACGCTCGAAACGTTAGCTTTGAAGTTCGTTCAAGTGGCCGATTTACGTTAAAACCAAAAAACCCATTATCGTGGCTGCTTTTATTTTTTATTATATCAATATATAACAGAGTATAAGGGGTGAACTAAAGACAATTGACTGCCAATTTACCAGGGGGTGGGGGGTATAAGAACATTACAGAGCCTTACGGAGGATAAGGTAAATTTCATCATAAAAGAACCAAAATTCCCCTCTCCCCTCTTCCTCCCCAACTGATGAATAATGACAGGTCCCTTATTTATTGCTTTTTTCATCCGTAGTTTCGCTATGCAGTTCTCCCTGTTTGTTAGTTTCTAACACAACGGATATTGTTACCATGAACATCCAAACCTCTTCTATTAACTCAGTTGTATTGGGTCTAACAAGAGCTGTTGCGATCGACTATCACTTCAATTTGGGCTACGTATTTTGGAGTGACGTCACCGAACACAATATCAAGCGTCTTCACCTCGATACTGATACTAAAACTACAATTATCAGCAATATTGGAGTTTGCGATGGACTCGCTGTGCACTGGAGGACTTCCCAGCTATTTTGGACAGATACAACATATAATACCATATCCGTATCAGACCTAGATGGCAATAACCAAGTTGCAATAGTTTCCTCTGGTCTCGATAAACCAAGAGGGATTGCTTTGGATCCTGACAATAAGTAGGTGTTTGTCTGTTCACAAATTGAGCCATTGGTAAATAGTTTTAAAATTTTGTACTAAAAGGGGACATTCCAGGGTTACTTGTTTAATAGGATAATCGCTACACGCAGTTTCCATTAACTAACCTGATTACTTTTCTCATGTTCTCTCCGTTCAACCCTTCTATGATTTCTACCGACAAGTTTATCTTGAGTTAAAGTTTGAGATGTGGAAGATATAGCTAATAGAAATCACTATATGATTGATTTAACTAATGTCACACATGATCTTATATTTCTGGTTTCTGTTCTAGATTTATTTATATGTTTTGTTCGTGTGTCCCTGTTTTGTTTTGTTTTTTTTTCTTTCTTTCTTTCTTTTTGTTTGTTTTTTTTTTCTGTTTGGTAAGGTGGGGTGGGAGGGAGGAAGGAATAGAGGACAGACGGAGCTAAGTCTAAAAAATTACCTCTCTGTATTTCTTTCTTTTCAATCGTCCAACAGTTTTATGTTCTGGACTGACTGGGGACTTAACCCCAAAATTGAAAGAGCTACCTCGAGTGGAAAACAAAGGTCAGCCATCGTTACAATGAATCTTTATCATCCAAATGGTCTTGACCTAGACAAAGGAAATCAACGCATATTCTGGGTTGATGCAGCCTTGGACAGAGTAGAATCCATCGATTACAACGGTGGTAACAGGAAGCTGCTATTCCAACAGAGTGGTTTACATCCATTTGGGGTTACTTTGGTTCCACCCTTTTTGTTTTTTACCGACTGGAATACAAACAGAGAGGTTCATAAACTAGACGCCCTGACTGGAGAAGTGTTTCGAAGCTACACTATCAATGGTGGAAAGCCAATGGGCGTCGTAGTTTACGATGGCTCCCGACAACCATCAGGTCAGTTAAGTCCTATGCATGCGAATACCAAGGGGTTTGTCAAGTCCATAATGGAATTTTATCTTGAGTTAAGTAATCAGATAGACTTCCTTCGTTCCAAACTCCTTATGCAACACTGCACAAAAACATTTCACCACATCATTAACAGTATTTTAATCATTTATTCTATTTTCTTATTTAGTCTCTTACAACTGGATTCCTTCATAAATGTTTATACTTTTGACAAGATAATGACGTGAATTAAACGTTTAAAGTCCTCTCCTAGTATTTTATCTTTTCTAACGATGAAAACCTATTTTGTCTTTGCAAGCGTCAAGTCCATGTTCCGTAAACAATGGAGGATGCAGTCATTTTTGCGTTCCAAAAGCCTCTGGTCATGAGTGCATTTGTCCAACAGGCTTGGCAGTAAAACAGAATGGAAAAACGTGTGAAGAAAGTAAGTCTTTGGCTCTCGTGCTTGAGTTCTGTATCATCACTTTTGTTGCGTATTTCTAATAAACATTCTTCATTAACTTTCATTACAGAAGAAAATAAGTTTTTTCTATATACGGATGCCAACGAGAAATCGACGAACATCATTTCATTGGATGTCAACTATTTAGTATCCAAAACCTTGTTCGTGCACCTTGGAGATCATCGTCCTATTGCTTTGGACTTTGACCCTCTTGAAGATCGCGTTTACTGGACTGACGTAAGACAAGGGCGCATCATGAGCGCCTTCAGAAACGCATCTTCAGCAAAAACTTTGTATTTTTGTAACGTCCTTAATCCTGATGGCTTAGCTATTGACCACGTGGGTCGAAACATTTATTGGACAGATACTGGGACAGACAGGATTGAATTGGGTCGTCTTGATGGAACAAAAAGGAAGGTCTTATTCAAGGATGCACTCGATGAGCCGAGGGCCATAATACTTGATGAAAGAAATGGGTTAGTGATTGAAAGCAGTTTTGCTATGTATGTCCAGTATGTCCAGGAATTGCCTTTTTTCTTTCACCCTTTTTATCCTAACTTTGATAGCCTCAGTCCATTTTTCTAAGTTTACTCCGAGTTTTTGATAGCTCCTTTTGTTCTGATCCATAACAATAGGCAAACAAATTGCGTTCAAAAAGACTCCAAGGGAACCAACTTCTCTTATCTTTGTTTGCTTTCAGCATGATGTACTGGACTGACTGGGGAGTCAATCCAAAGATTGAGAAAGCCGAGATGGATGGCTCAGGGAGACAATCCATTGTTACAGGAAATCTAGCCTGGCCAAATGGACTGACCATCGACCAGGCTACAAACCGTCTATACTGGGTTGACGCTAAATTGGACACTATAGAGATGACCGACCTTAATGGAGCGAGTAGACAGGTTCTGTTATCATCTGCAGATCAAATACATCCCTTTGGTTTAGCGTTTTATGAAAATGTGCTTTACTGGACTGATTGGAATAAGAAAAGCATTCTACGTTACAATTTAACCAGTGCGAAACATGAAACGGTGATTCCTGACCTCCAGCAACCGATGGACATTCACGTTTATGATCCATCTTTGTCATTTACAGGTAATTACTCAGATTATTAGTATTTCAATTTAAAGCTTTACAATTGAAGTTCACAGTCCCTTTCAATGTCAAAACTTGGATGGACTTGAAACTCTCTAGCATTAGAAATATTAGACCTAAGGAAAAAGAAAGCAAATAGGAGAACGTTTCAAGCGCTGCTCCATCTTAAGATTTTCAAGCCACAAATTCATAAAATACAGGAGAGATGAAAGTCTGAAGTTAGTACAAATAATTAGAGATGTTTATAAGATTATAAAATTCATGTTCTGACTTGTTACCGCCGTTAGGTCCTCACGCATGTGCTCAAAACAATGGGTTATGCAGCGACTTCTGTCTACTGAAGCCAGGAGGATACAAATGCACATGCCCAACAGGAATTGTGCTGAAGCCTGATGGGAGAAGTTGTGATAATGGTGAGGACGCAAGTCATATTTTCCCTTTTAACTTTGCCAAGTGCTTTTTAATGCTGGCCATACAAGTATCATAATAACTAGAGTAGCATCCTCAGCCAGGAATACATTTTGGAATAAAGTGGAAAGTAACCAAAGTTGCACATTACCCTATAAGGAACTTTTTCTTCTATTTAATCTTTAATTTTGTAATAGTGTTCATTTGTTGCTCATTCTTGCGAAAGTATGCATTTATAATACGACTGCTCTATCTCCTTTTTGTTCAAGATGGTTTCGAAAAAGCGAATTTAGAAAAATTCATCGTCTTTCCTGAAGCTGATACTCGAGAAATATACAGCGTTGCAATCTCAGTATCAGAGAGCCCTTGCAAACCTCTGCAAATCAAAACAAACATCTCTTCGCCCGTGGCGGTCGACTACGATCCACTCGATAGAAAAATATACTGGACAGATGTCGCCCTGAAATTAGTGGCAAGAGCTTTTCCTAACGGATCTTCCGTTGAGGTCGTCGCATACAACAAAGTTGAGGGGCCTGAGGGGCTGGCAGTCGATTATATTGAACGGAATCTATACTGGACAGATGCGGGAACCCGCAAAATTGAGGTAGCACGCTTAGATGGATCATCTAGAAGAAGTCTTATAACATCAGGAATCGAAAGTCCAAGAGCCATAATACTCAATATAGCAGAAAGGTAACTATGGGTAGTTTTATTTTGATTACGCGTCGTTATCTACACATTAGTTGCCACTAATAGTTTTCTTGTCAATAGCGATGAAGCGAACTTTGAAACCCACTCCCACCATGAAACAAATTTCGGGGATAATTGGCCTTGAGTAATTGCTGCGCCTGTTTTTGCAACATAACGTTTTTATTATGACGAGTCGCTCGAGTGCAAACTATAGATTTGAAGTTGTACGAGGATTGTCACAGAACGAAAAGGTTTGTATCGAAGAGTTATAGAAGCGGATTTCGGTGTTCCAATTCTTAGCAGGACGGGTAGAGAAACTCGTGAGACAGAAAAAGGAGAAGGAGCGAAACGGATGAATGGAATTAATTAAACTAGGTTAATGATTGTGCTCATCAAGGACAGATGCTCTACTGTTTCAAACGAAAAAGGAAAAAAAAATCAGTGGGCTTTGGAAAAGTGCTAAATTTAGTTGAAAAACAGTTCTATAATAGTAAATACTGTCCCTGCAAATTTATTTACTAGGGACTCTACGCTAATCCTCTGGTATTTCAAAGAAAACAGCGCTACCTTTGCAAAACAGTCGCCAACACATCAGATAGTTTGACGCAGAGTTGTGCGAATATTTGGTGTTAGATATTCTAAATTATTTACTTCTTTTTAAGTCACGATCATGATTTATTATTTCTAGGAAGATGTTTTGGAGTGATCGCGGATCTTCTCCAAAGATTGAACAAGCGAACATGGACGGCTCTTCCAGGGCGGTTCTTGTTAGTTCTGGACTTGTAGGGGTTAACTCACTAGCTATAGACTACTCTGGAAAACTGTTGTACTGGTGCGATGCAACTCTCGATAAGATCGAAAGGGTAGACTTTCAAGGGAATAACCGAGTCGTTTTACTGGACTTGTCATCTTATATTCGGCACCCATTTGCACTGGCCTTATCTGACAACATTATTTACTGGTCAGACTTGGAAAGGAAGAATATAAACAAATTCAACATTACTTCCTCTCTCAATGAGGTTCTGGTTCATGGGATGAAGTCACCGAAGGAGATGCACATCCACGATGACGCAAAAATCTTTTCTGGTATGCAATAATGAAATAGAGACTCAAACAAACATACCTGCTCCCATACTGGATTTTAAAGCTTTCTTGTCGACTATTCGATTTGATTCGTTTCTCAAAATTCTCATTTCGGGGGTAGGGCCAGCCAATGTGTGATCTGTTCACGTGGAAAACACGCAATGCATCTTTTATCTAACGATGAAATGCACGAGCAATTTTCAATAATGTGCAACGTGTTCCCTAATTGCTTTGGTTTTGCTTTACTTTGCCTGATGATTGGTTTAGAAAACTTGCGCCCCCCATATAAATCAATTGGACGCAAGAATGCGATCGTGACTTTGTCGATCACGCTTTGCTGGGCCTCAAACAGTCTGTCTGTAATTATTTTGAGCCCTGATGGCTAATGATGATCCTAACTTTTCTTCTGATTGACTATTTTTTTTTTTGGGGGGGGGGGGTTGTTTTTTGAAAAATTAGTTGAAAACTACGATCACTTTTCTCCCATAATGTTTTGCGCGCTCATACTGGTCGCTTTAACTCCACTTCCCTTGACGTGTAGGATCAACCAGCTGTTCGCATTTAAATGGGGGCTGTAGTCATCTTTGTCTCCCAAATCCAAGTGGACACCAGTGCTTTTGTCCTGAAGGAGTACTGCTAAAGCCTGGCGATCCCTTTACTTGTCAAGGAGGTAAGGAAAAGTCGATTCAAATTTTCACCAGTTTGTCATTTGACCCCTCTAACTTGCTATATGTTTTTTCGATGTTGAACGTATGTTCCATTTGGTAACAGCGTAGAGTGGCCTGAGTTCTAGGGGGACTTACCTTTCATAATTGACTGACACGGTTGTGTGAAGGGTTGATGGATGGCAGCTTTAAATCAAAAAAGTTATTTTTTGTTGTTTTATTTCTATTTCAGTTAACCGCTGTGCCCATTTGTCTGTGCCTTCAAACGGAAGCTTACATCCCTGTTCTAATCTTCCTGGAAATACCTGTCGGTTTTCCTGTGACAAAGGGTACATTCTCACCGGATCAGCAACGCGAACCTGTCAAGACGATGGCACGTGGACCGACACACAGGCTAAATGCAACGGTAGGGTAACCAAGGCAACCACTCTTCAAATACATCTCTAAATAAGAAATGCCCCAGTGGATGCTGGGAACCATTATAACGGGTTTTTTTCTTTGGGCCAATCTAAGCAAAGAATCCTGCTAAAGACTTATTGACTAAAAATGAAAACAGAGATGTAAACCAACTTACAGACAGTCAGAGATACAGACTGATAGGTAGGCTGCTACTGTAAAAGCACCACTTACATAGGGATCCCAAATGGTTCTCGTTTAAAGTCTGCCTTAGTCTTATCTTCCTCCTACTAAAGGCCACATCACAGGTATTTGTTTAACGAAAGTTTATAAACAGAGAGGCTCCGCACCTGGACAAAAGATAAGTTTAGTATATTAAAAACAAATCGGTTTTTCTGATTTTTAAACACTCTTTTATCTTTGTGTCAGTTATCAACTGTTCCAAGCTTGTGGTAAGTCCGGGAGATCCGTTGCGCATGAGCAGCTGTGGATATAACTTCGGAGCACAGTGTAACTTTTCCTGTCCCACTGGTTATCGCTTAAATGGATCCTCATCACTCAAGTGTGTTGCTCAAAGTGACAGTCCCCCAGGCGTTTGGGATAATCGTCTGCCAACCTGTCATGGTACTTTTTGTCGCTGAATATATTTTTGCTCCGTTTTACTGGCTCCTTCACCTTTTCCTTCAATACGTCTTAAGCATAACTTTTTCTTTTCTTTGCAGCCATTACTTGTCCATCTCTTCCTATCCCAAAACATGGACAAAAGGTTGGATGCATTGATCCTGTATGGGAGCCTTATGATACCCATTGTAGTTTTGCATGCCAAGCTGGCTACAGTCTGCTTGGTTCCTCTGTCAGGCGGTGTCTACAAAACAGCACATGGAGTGGAGTTGCATCATCATGTCAAGGTAAGGAGCTTAAAGGTCCATATGCTCAAGAAACAAGACATCCTTTGTCCTCAAGATGAGCTGTTTTTTTAAGGAGTCCCGTGAGCACATTCTTTGACAGACTTGCAGAAGAATCAAACAAAGGTTTGTAAACATACCAGGCGCCATAATTTACGTTATTAAAACGTGAGAAGATACGAAAATCCTCAAAGGAAAAGCAAAATAAACATTCCGAGTTTTAAAGATTTTCACGCTCAGTTAGATTGCAAGCTTACGTACGGTAATAAAAATCAAACACAGCTAACACTCGTATAGTATATAAAGTTCAGTGTTGAACTGACCATGCTTCCACCAAAAACATAAATATATTTTTCTGCGCATTTATCACACACAGCCTACGATTCCTCGATTTACTCTGACGAAGTGCCAACGCCGGAAACATCAACTTTAGAGTCTCCATACGATGGCCAAATATATCGTTAACTTACTTGATAACCATTTTTCCCGACAGATATCCAGCATCCTAGAATTCAATGCCCACTTGACATGACAACTCCCACAGAAACTGGTCAGTCATATGCGAACGTAACTTGGAAGTTACCAGTCCCCACGGACAACTCTAACGAACATTTGATTCTTACTGGCTTGACGCCGCCGCAGAAGTTTAATGTTGGTACAAATCACATCACGTACAAAGTCACTGACTCTTCCGGGCTGAGTTCATCCTGTACTTTCTCGATTCAGGTCAAAGGTATGAGTGCGTACACGCCGTTGATATTAGGCGTGGACATATCATTACTTCCAATCTTTCAACATGATATCTTTTAAAAGGAGCACATTTCTAGCCATTGAGTTTCGCAAAACCAAAACAAATGTAATCCCAGAGCACTCTACCCATTTACTTAAAAGAGGTACAAAAACTTTTACCATTTGCATCTTTAATCATTTTCCAGGTACTAACTATGGTGATATAAAACATTTATACACAAAATCACATCACAAATTGTACCAAATATTGACAATTCAACAGTTTTCTGCAACTTTTCAAATAGTGTCGGCTTTTTAAAAGCAAAAGCTTTGGTTCCTCAATAAAAGGAGGCCTAAAAAGGCTTTCAAACATCTAACTAGGGTTCGACAGAAAAATCTTCTTTATAAGATTGAACTTGGAAACATTTGCATGAGCAAATTTATTTGTTCAATTGTCAATCGCTCCTTTTCTTTTTTAAGTCATGTTTTCTTACAACATACCTTTTTTTGGTTAAAAGTTGTCTTTATTAACTTTCGACTTACATACAACAGTGCAGCACTAGCACAACGTAAAAACACAGCGTAATTATGACACCAACAATGCTTGTGTTACTTACAATACAACCCCTATTGATATTTATACTTATTGATACTCACGTTAAAGACTACTCACAAAATGATTTTCTTTTAAATTAGCCTACACTACAAATTTTATGATGCTTACACTACTTGCATTACGAGCTTTGAATAAATAATTAGGTTACTCTACATACTATACAATACATACACTGGCAAAGGTAGTTACAACTTATGAGAGGTAGACTGCAGCACATCACAGGCACAATGCAGATACTTCAATTATATTTCTACTCCAACAGATAAAGAGCCACCCAGAATTTCTCCCTGTCCCGAAGATGTACTCATTACTTCTGCAAAGCAATGGACTAAGGTGTGGCTACCCAGAGTTGAGGTCACCGATAATGTTGGTGTTCACTCATTTATTACAAACAGACCAAACGGAAGCGAGTTTACATGGGGACAACACAATATAACATATAGTGCTACAGATACAGCTGGTAATACAGCCACGTGCAAGTTCCGTATAATAATTAAGGGTATGTATAGTCTAGTCTAACTTTAAATTTACAGTTTTACAGTTAGTTTCCTTGGTAACAGTCATCGGATCAATGACTTTTTCTGAGCAACTGCGCTCCTACCTCTCCATCCTCCCTAACTTGTCATCAGTTGACTGTTGTTGGGTTAAGGGAGGGATAGGTGCGCTGTTGCTTAGATATGCTGACAGGGTTAGGGGAGGGGTAGGTGTGCTGTTGCTCAGATATGCTAACATTGATCCCGGTCATAGCTTGTTTGTGGGTAGAAAAGATATCACGACTCAGCGACCGGTCTTCCAACATACCAGATAAGAGCTACCACCGAATGATAGCACAATACCAAAATATAGCGTTAGGCTGGTAATTTTTTATCATTATTCTGAAATAATTGTTCTTTTTGGGAAAAGTAAGCAGGTTACTGGCGTTTTTAAAGATTGAATATGATTTAGGGGTGGTGCAGAATCCTCATTAAGTCACTGTTTACAGTTTGAAGAGCGTGATGGTCTACTGCCGCGATAAGGAAAGATGATGATGTAAAAAATGATGATGTAAAAAATGATGATGATGATGATGACGTAATTTCTGCTTATTTCTGAAATCAAGATTATGAATGTCCGAAGCTGCATTCACCACTGAATGGAGCAAAAGCATGTGACTTATGGCTGGAAGGTGGTAAGATCTGCACACTTCACTGTAACGCTGGATATGACTTCGCTAACAAACCACCAGATGCCTATTTCTGCGGTGCGTCAGGTGGATGGCTGCCTGATGAAAAAGTACCAGATTGCTCAGGTAAGCGTGAACACACTATGCAACGTTAAAGTGTGGGCTGCATCCATGGAAAATGCCTTATGGCAACGATGGTACGGACTCTAGATAGTTGCTACCAAAAGAGGCAAAGTAGTCATCAAGTTGGCAGCCATGAACAGCTTTTCTGGCCTTGTTAGGCCTAATAAATAAGGCGTTGCCAGCATAAGCGGCTTGGGTAGCATATGAAAAAAAAATAACAAATTACATATGGTACATAGTTTGCATGTTCGAGTCTGAATCGAGAGATTGCTGTTCAACCCTGGGGCCTAACTCTCAAAAGTTTCGCTAACTCGAGAAGCACGAATATAACATTTATAAATCAAATTATACGCTAGGATGATGTCAGTCTTCGCCCAGACACTGGTGCATTCTGTTTCTTTTCCTGTTATCTTTACTGTTTGCATCTTAAATTTTTCAAAATCTCTATCTCGAAAGAAACATGGCAATAAAGTCCGCCTTTCTGGCCTGTTAAGTTCCCGGATCTTTCGAGAAACGGGCTCTTGTTCTTAGGAAAGGATTTTTCCCACAGTGCCTCTTTCTGCACAGGATTACAGATGAGTACCGCTGAACTGTGAGCCTGAAATCGTCTCCCGGCTACCTGTTGCATTTCAAATAATCTATCAGTCATTTACAATATGGAGTCCTTTCTTTGGGAATCGAAGATCCGATTGCTTTTGTAACTCATCCGCGTCTTGCCACTCTTTAGGATTTTCTAAAACGTTTTTTGAAGAAAACAATTAGCAATTATTCATTTTCAAAACTTCTGTTACAGAAACACGCCAGCCGACGACTCTGCTCAAAATTCAGCTCCACTACCTAGCTGATCAATGCAGCGAGCAAATTCATCACCAGATCGCCAGCAACTTTATTGCACTTTACACCACTTATTTGGGACCAGACAATGGCTGCGATTCACTCGGGTTATGCACAATCGAAAACGTCGAGGTCGAATGTGGAGACCAGACAGGAACACTTCGAAAAAGAGACTTAGGAAGTAATCCGCTCTCATCAAGAATTTCACTTTCCATTAGTTTTGATTTCAAAGTTCCACTGCCCAGGAATACGACTGCAGCTGATCTTAATCAGACAACTGAAGAAATTTCCAGTAACCTATTATTAAAGTTTAACAGAACAGATGTGAATCTTAATATCAGTGGGATTTCCTTAGTTTTCGATGCTTCAAAACCACCTCAAGTCCGCTTCGTGCGCCTTTTATGTGATAGTGGACAGGTTCTAAGAGGCTCCAAATGTGGTAAGCAGATTTTGTAATCATAAAAATTATCAAAACACAAAGTGACTGGTTAACCTGCTTTGCTTAAAGATTCTTATTTTGTCCAAGATAGTTGGTTACGCTTGCACTTTTCCATAAGCAAGTATTCTAAAAAATAATTTGATCGTTTTAGACAAACAGGAGCAGTGAGATACATGATGCAAATAAAAGAATAGCCAGATAATTTTTTATTTCACGTTTGCCAAATACTTCCCCATAACTATGAAATTTTCTAAAATGCCCTAGTATTCCCAAGTGGCCGTAAAAGCAATTGCACATCCGCTTTAAAATTGGTTTATTTAAAAAAATAGGTGTTATACGATTGGCTGCCTACTCTAGATCAACAATCTTTCAAAGGCGCAGAATTTCTTCGAAGAAGGCATTTGAAAAATTATATGAGTTGAAAAAACGTATTGAAAGCGCTAACTCTAACTTAAGGAGAACTAAACTCTTCCTATAGCTTTTAAGCCCCCAGATGGTTACGGAGTACTTGGCTAAGTTTAGACCATATCGTAAGTAATAAGGAAGATGTAATTAACTCAACGAAGGAAACATGTCATAACCAAGCACCAAAAAGTCATTCTTTTAAATGAATCGACGTACAAAACATTTCTCCTGAAAATGAGTTTCCTCGCATGAGGATGAAGAATGAATCTAATATAAGTATCGAAAAGGCAATGCACTTGCCTTGCTATGCAGTCAGATGCTATATAAACAGCTCTGAAATGGCTGACTCAAACAGTTTGATGATACGTCAAACATTTTTAAATATCTTCGTCCCTTTTTGCTATTTATAGTGAGCTGTCCTGTTGGATACTTCCACAATACTTCAGAGTGCCAGGCATGCGCAGTGGATCATTACCAGGATAAAGAGGCGCAGACTTCTTGTGTTCCTTGTCCATCCGGGACATCAACGTTTGGCGCGTTAGCATCTAGATGGCAGGGAAACTGTGAAGGTCTCTAAACAAATTATACTAGATGTCTTCTTTTGACTTATGATGAATTTATTTGTACTGCTGTAAACAATATTCGTATTTGACCGCTTGCCAATTCTTATTTTCATCAGCAAATTCCAAAACGTCAAATACCGATGGGAAAGGGACATCTGGTCACCTTCTCAATGTCATCATTGCCATGGCAATAGTTGTACCTGTCATTGTAATAGTTGCTGTCGCCATCTTTTGTGTGTGGAAGCATAGAATGTAAGTCTAAAGCATCATTTTTATTTTTTTTTTTTATTGTTGTCATTATCGTCACCATAAGAATTTCTTACTGTTATTTTTATTGCCGTCGTGGTTTTTCAAAAGTGGAATAGAAACCGATAGAGTTAAATTGCAATGGAAGAAAAAGAGGTGCAAAGGCTTAGGAAGGGTAAACTGGCGTGAACAGAGCAAGGGTGATGGTGGGGTAACGTGTTGACAGCGTTCAAGCCAAAATTGCCAGAGCTCGTCTCAATATCAATAAAATAACAACAGGAAGCATTTAACTAATCGTACTGGATGCCAGGTTTATTCATCGCTGAAAACCATTCCCTTCTTCGCCCTCCCCCATTCCCTTGCCGATTCATCAAGTTTCTCTCATAGTTTGCCAGTTTCCCTTAATACTTAATGGTGGAGAGCATGACATTGACGACAAAAGAAGTAACATATTGTCCTCAAGATTGCATCACTGTGGCTTTACGGTGGCTTAAATTTGGACCTCTCGAACAGTTGCTCCTGCGTACTATTTACTAAACCACCGCAATTCCCAACTTTGATATATCCTCTCCTCAGATCCTTTGTGATATCGGCATCTAAAGGTTACCTCCACTACACAACAACCCACGCACAAAGCATAAAACAAATATTCTTATTTTGGCCGAGTAAGGCATTAACAAAGTTAAGAATTTGTCTTATTTCGGAGTTCCAAGACGAGTTCGCTTGAATGACATAGCATCACATAGCAAGGTTTGATACATGCGAGCTAGTTAAAGATTCATGTCTCTCTTTCTCAGCTATTTTATCGTTCCTCCCTCAGAAGACCTCGGCGAACAACGTCTGAAACCAGGGGACACAACAATCCAGCATATGAAGATCCAATGAATAACCGTGTCTATGAGGAAATTGAAGAATTGCAGTTTCCGAGTCCTCATTCCCATTATCAGTTACTGAACACGGAACCACATACTTACGCGGAGCTTCGAAACAGTCACTCTCAAGCCTAAGGAAATAGTTTGACGAGTTCAGACAATCTGAGTTGAGATTCTTTTTGTTATAGTCCTACCTTCACCGGTTTAAGCCGTGGATATGCAAAGCATAGGAAAAAGCAACGCGTTAACGCGGCCTAGGAAGTCTGGGGAGAGCATATAACTTACATAGGATGTCAACCCAATCTTGATTATGGCAAATCAATTGGGGTGGGCTCTTGTGGGGATGCCGGCTAATTTTGTGCCGATAATGTACTACGAAATAGCCTTTTTATCAGAACGTCAACAACTGAATATTACCTCTCAATACTTTCTTAGGAGAGTAGAAATTAAATGTCAAGGTTTTTTAGACTTCACCCGACGAAACAACAAATTATATTCTGCACGTTATATCCACGAGTTCATCATAGTGTCACTTGGATCTTGTTATACAGTATATATTTATGGGCTCGAGTGCGGAAGGTGCATAAGGATTAGAGGAAAGAGTCAATACTTCTAATAGGCATCGAGGGAAGCGTTATCACGAAAAAAAAAATGCCCGCAATTCAACGATAAAACCGCCCACGTAGACAAATCAAATCCAATCCCTTGGACAGTGTCATACGTTATAATCAGAGATACACTCGAGGTGAAATGTAAATTACGAATTCAGAATAAAATGTTTCACTCTTAGTTGTATTTGGATCTTTATCACTTTCGTCATCTTACATGACTATCTCATGGAAAAAAGTATTTTAAATTTATTTTTCCAAAAGTGTTTCTAACGCCGCAGATGTTTCCTGTTTTACACGTGTCCCGAAATATTATGGAGAAGTAAAACATGTTACAATTCTAGCCTTCAGACAAACAACAATCTTGCTAACTTTTTTCATCAATAAATAACCCCCACCCCCTTGCAAGTAAATTCTTTACTACATGATCATGATCACCCATTTAGGACGCTTTTTAAATTAATATGACGGTTGATCATAGCTGATCAAGAAGACATAGTTGATCAAGAATATGGATAAAAATCATCAGTTTAAAAAAGCACGATTCTGAAGAAGCAGCACTGATTAGCAACTGAAAAATTTCTTTACTTGGGTGCATGTTTTGATTGTTTATTATTTGTAGAACTACAACCTTTTCTAGCAACTTCAGAAATGAGAAAGTAATGAACTACTTGTCCAGAAATAAGAAAAGAAAACCATATCGATTGTGCGAGTTTTCAGATCGGAATATAAAGAGCACAAATTATGCAAGATATTATGAAAAAATTAAAACGGTCTAAGTTCTCACGTGCAAAGAAAGAGCTACGAGTAAAGCTAAATTAAATTCCAACAACGTCTATGAATCAGCACAGTTTCTTAAACTATTCACACGAGTCTCTTTTCTTCTTTTTCAAAACAGCTCCAGGGTCATCAACTCTCTTTCTTTTCTGTTGTAGCCGAGATAAGTTCCTCCTGACCTGAAGTGCCCTTACATGTTCTTGACCATATTTGGCGATATAAATTACCGATGCACGATCAAGACAGTGCTTGGCCTCTTCGAACTCGCCCAGGCCATTGTAAATACTACCCAGTTTGTGGTAAGAATGTGCGACATCGACATGTTCAGGTCCCAGCTTTTTGAGTGTAATCTCTAATGCATGCTTATGGTAGTCTTTTGCCTGATCTGTTTCGCCCAGCGTGTGATGTAAATTACCAAGACTGAAGTAACAGGTTGCAACATCAACATGTTCAGCTCCCAGCTTTTTCAGTTGAATCTCTAGTGCACGCTTATAGTAGTCTTTTGCTTGATCTGTTTCGCCCAGCTCACTGTGTAAATTACCAAGATTGTTGTAAGTGTTTGCAACGTGAACATGTTCAGGTCCCAGCTTTTTCAGTTGAATCTCTAGTGCACGCTTATAGCGTACGATGCAAATTACCAAGATTGTTGCAACAGGTTGCAAAGTCAACATGTCCAGGTCCCAGCTTTTTCAGTTGAATCTCTAGTGCACGCCTGCAGCTTTTTTTCAGTTGAATCTCTAGATTGCAACGTCAACAAGTTCAGGTCTCAGCTTTTTCAGTTCAATCTCTAGTGCACGCTCATAGAAGTCTTTTAGCCCAGTCTTTTGACTGTTGTACGTGCTTGCAACTGTTTCATCCAGCTTTTCCAGTTGAGCGCATGAGCGCATCAACTAATCTGTTGTAACATTCTGCCTTTGCTTGGTCCGTACCAACGTAACTCAAGTCAATCGGTGTTAACAGCAATTTACTGTAGATTACCGCTGCTCCAAACTCACCGTGGTCTCGGCACATTTCAAAGGCCACCGGAATAATTTATAAAATTTCGGCAACTTAAGATTCGCGAGGAGCGATGTCGTGGCTAGGTTTGGGAGGGAGAATGCAAAATGGAGAGACATTGGAATGTAATTTTTCTTCTAAAGCAAGCCTCTGTTCTTCTTTTTGTTGAAGTTCCTGTCCTTTCTCGTGAAGCTCTTCTAGTTTTTCTCCTGTTTTGTTCCTTCTTCAAGAAGTTCCTTGTCTTTTTCTAGAAGTTCCTTTTTCTTTTCCGTAAGTTCTTGTTTCAAGTCGTCAACCTTCCTTAAAACTTCGTCTAACTTCTCTGTGGGGAAGTTTGTTTGATTTTGAATGTGAGGAGACCGAGTGCGGTGAATGCAGTTTTAACTTTTAAAATAACTCTTTGGAAATCTCTGTCGAAGAGGTGGTTCCGTGGAATATGTGCAAATTCTTTATTTCGAAATTTCCTTAGGTCGTCCACATTTGATCTGTTCGATGGATTGAGATACACAATCTGAATACCGGATAGCGTAAAACAGCATGGTACAATCCCACTTAGCTGTGTCGCCATTCTTCATGATTTTCAACAGACGCGCGTTTCTCCTTCTGTTGGAAAGGGGCTCGCCACTCCAGAAGTCCATTCCATTTTTGGTTTGATCTTTCCATTCTCCCACTGTTGTCTTGTATCGATTGTCCTATTCTTGTTTGAGGATGGTTCGCAGACCCTCAGTTAGTATGTCAGTGACCACGTAACAAATCCTGTAATAACTCAGTTGTGGTGTACTTCAATACAGTGGCCATTATCAGTTACATCCTATTAAAACCATAGTTATGTTAGTACCCAATTCGGTTATCTCGGTGGGTCGCTATACTTTTGCTGATCCTTTAACAGTTTTGCCGTACTTGTTTTGAATACTTATTTACCTACCAAGATATTTTCGCTGATGCACGTCAATTATATACTAGACAGGAAGGTAAGGGCAATTGAAAAAATCTCGCTTTCAAAACAATTTGCTTAATGGAGTCAGAGGCTAATAGAAGGGAGGAAAAGAGAGTGATAAAGATTCACTGTCACCCAAAACGTCAGTATAATACAGAAAAGTGTTTAAAGCATTGGGGATACGGTTTATGTGTGAAAGAAACAATCTTCTTGCTTCCTTATTTGTTAATTTGTTTGTTTCTTTCAGTACTCACTTGGTCCCACGATAGGTATTTTTTTTCGAGACACAGTCGACCTCAAATACGGAACTCTACAGATCTCGCCTGATCTGCCCCCTTCGCATACAAGAGAGGGAAATTAGGTTAAAATGTTGACACTGAATCATTCGGCAGAACAAAATTAAGCCGGGAACTGATGGTCAAAGTTAAGGATAGGGGAATTTTTAAGCTGTACAATTATTGTCTTCTACTGAGCTGAAATTTTTTTCAGCTTGCGAGGTAATTATTGATGGTACTCTTACAAAAGCTACACTGCAAGTCTCCTGGCACTCTATTTGAATGTCTCAGCTCGCTCGCTAGTGATTAATCAAGGATCACTTTTCACTGAGTTCAGGTATACTGGCATAAAGTTAAAACTAACCATCACTCTTACATAAATACAGGAGAAGTTCGCCAATCCGATCTCAATGACACCTAAAGATATGTTGGCTGAAGTCCTACACTCCTGGTAGGATCACCCGTGCCGAACAGGTCGAAGGGTAAAAACCAGACAAAGAGTGATCCCCTGGTCCTCCAGTTGGAGGTTGGGCGCAGGGTTAAGACCCTACCCCGCAGAAAGAAACACATGTTACAGAAGCCGGATACATTAATGATACAATTCAAAACGAGGGTGTTGCTGCCGAGGCCTTAATGACGCTCTTGAGCCAAAGCCTGCAGGAAGCCTAAAGGCCGATAGGCCCCATGATAGCCCCCAAGAAACAGATCACCATCGGTTTTTTGAACGTAAGAAACTTGGCCGGGGCAACACGAACAGTGGAAGTTGCCAAGAGATTACAGGATGTGGAATTGTAGAAAATAGCAGAAAAGGCCGATGAGAATAGAGTAGGAACGAGGAGCCAAACAGCATAACCAAGAAAATAGCCGGGAACGGAGGAGGCGAGAATTGCGTGTGAAAATTGCTACCCATCATCAGTAGAATATTCCACAGGGTGCTGCTAGAACGGATCAAGAAAGGTATAGACAAGAAGCTTAAAAAAGAGCAGGCTAGCTTTAGACCAAATGGAAATACAACAGATCTTTACATTAAAAAAACATCTTAGAGCAGGCAAACGACTGGAGGGCGAGTCTGTACACGCACTTTGTGGGCTTTGAAAAAGCCCTCGATTCGGTACACAGAGAAAGCTCGTGGAACACCAAGGGGCAGCTATGGAATTCCGCACAAGATGGTGAGAGTGGAAATGGGCATATACGGAGGGTTTGAATGCGCCGTAATCGACAGATTTGAGATATCAGACTGGTTCAAGATTTAGTCAGGAGTAAAGCAGGGATACGTAATGTCAGGATTCTTATTCCTACTGGCCATGGGTTGGATCATGAGGAAGACAACAGCAAGACACTGAGGACTGAGTTTGCAAGGAACAGTGAGAGCATTGTGGTGAGTAGTGAAGAAGTGAAAGATGTCGAAGAGTTTGCGTATCTTGGAGCTATTGTAGAAAAGAAAGGTGGAGGCAGTGAAGATATTAGGAACAATGCAGAAGGCACGAGGTGCATTCCAGAGGCTATGGAAGGTGTGGGCAGAGGAATAGGAAAGAGAGCTATGATATGCCTATTCAAGACTTTAGTCTGACCGGTCCTGCTACGTGGTTGTGAAACATGGAAGATCACAAAGACCGATGAAAGAAAACTGAACAGTATTCAGTACTAATGCCTAAGACGGATACTGAGGATTAGATGGCAATAAAGAATGACAAACAGGAGAGTAGTTGAAATGGCAGACACCAATAAAATTAGCTGCGAGGTAGTGCTCAGGAGAGAGGGTGAGAACGAATTTTTTGCGGTATTGGGGTGGACACCAGAATTTCAAAGGGCGAGAGGGAGACCAAAGACCACTTAGAGAGGGACTGTTGAAAGAGGAAAAAGGCAAGACGATATGGAAGAGCTGGATCGTGGCTGGGGCAGCGGCACGCGACAGTGGGGTTGGGCGGACAATGTGACGGCCTTATGTACCTACTGACCCAACGAACGATGATGATGATAATGACGATGATATTACACACCGCACGTTCCAGTTAACTTTAATTTACGTGATATCGTAGCCCGTGGTTTCTCGGTGAAAGGAAAGAAATGATTACTGTGAAGCTAGAGATCGGAAACAAAAATAAATTTAGAGAAAAAGTGTACCGAACTTGCGGGCTGCACTCTACTCTCAATCGTCTAATCCTTGTTTTATTGTCTATCATCAACGTTCACCACGTCACAAACTTCGAACGTTCTCTATTCTCGTTCTAGAAGTTTGACAAAACTTGGGGAATACTTGAACTGTCTGCAATCAAGGTTTGAACAATTTAGAATCACGTGCTTTTAAAGCTGCACAAGCAGCAAAGTATTCGTACGTTCTTTTTTTATATCATAAGCAAAAAACTCAGGCACTGTGTTTGGTTCTTACCTAAGATCTATTATATAACACAAATAGAATTCATGTTGCCCGGGTTCTTAAAAATAATAGATCACAGACGACGTCACATATGTGGTAAGAACATCAGTGACATACTCAGTCTGCACCCTGCAGGTACTATACATTAGTCAACATTATTTTCAAACTTCTTACGCCCAACGAAAGTGCAGAAAATTCTTGGCTTACTTGAGAGGGAGCTAATCCAGAAGATCATAGTTTACGAGCAAAAAGACTTTGAGAAATTTGCACACAGCCGAAAGATTTCAAGAAGAAACTCAAAATGACGGGTAGACTTCAATGAATATAGCCTTAGTAACATCAATTACTTTTGATTCTTTGCCATGAAATACAATGAGACATTGACTGAGATTTGACTCTTTCTATCTATTTTGGACGGGTTTCTAATATTTATTTTAAGATCGCCGATGAATAAACAAAATTAATAAATAAACGTTAAGTATGGAACCTGTCTTTGCTCAATATGCCCTGTTCTCTCCTGTGTTAATCTAATAACTCGCATATTAACTCAACAAACCCTTTTCAGCGAAGTGCGAAGCAACATTGTTGAATGACACCTTAAAAGAGCCCCCTTAGTCCTCTTGCTGGCGAGGCTTTTAAACAAGGAAGGTTGTTATTTTCATTTCCTTTCTCGCCGCCTCAGTTATTTCAGTTATATTGTGTGGAGTTACGTTTTAGTGATTACTTTTGGGTTCTTTATATTCATTTTGAGTGAATCAAAATTTGTCAGATTTTCGGGAAATTCAAATAAAAAAAAATAATTTAATTTCGTGAGCAGAAATTTCAAAACCCTATCAAACGATAAATACTTCCTTATAAGCATATTGAACAGTCAAATAGATAAATACCGAAAAAAAGACAAAAACCGAAATTTTTGAGATCGACATCCGAGTCCCCACCGATCTTTTGATCGACGGTCGTGGTTTTATTTCACTTTCATTTAAAGAAAACTCCCTTTCTCAGAAAAAATTGTTGTCTTAGCTCAGCCTTGAACTAGGAGAGAAATCTGAAGTTTAGTATCATCCACTAATATTCAGTAAAACAAGATTGAGGGGCATATGAAAAGTTATTTACTTAAATTGTGAATAAAACAAGTCATGGAATAACCGCTTGTGGCACTCTGGATTCAAAGACCAGAGGGTCATGGACTCAGAATTTATGAGCGCTAATTGTTTCCTATTAGATGGATTAATGATGAACTAAGCCACGCCGGAATGCCATCGTTTATTTTGTCAAAGGCCTTGCTCATGTCAGGGTTATATGTAACTGCTCGTGGAAAAAACAAAATTGAAAAATGACTGAATGAGAATCCATTATTATATTGGCTCGACTAAATGTCATTTTAGTCTATGGTGTCCTTCAAATCTACAGTTAAATCCAGACCAGCATTTTTTCTGCAATGAATGGAGTAAACAAAACGATTTTAGCTTATATAAGTTTATTGAAGCATTTAGGGGGTGTTTTACAACAAATTAATTATTCTTAATTAGATTAAGAAATATTACTTATACTAGGAACAACACTCACAAATTTACGCAGCATTTCTGACTTGATCAGTTATAAAAATTATCTCAACGGCAATTTCTTTTTTTTTGTTTGTTTGTTTGTTAGTTTTTTTTCTCTATCAGCCTACAGTCAATAACAACAACAAAGCACTGACAAGAGCACCAAATGAATAAACGGTAAACTAAGAAGTGCAAAAGTGAAGTAAATAAACAAGTTTTTCTTTCAAGGAAATTCCACTCAACCTCCATTTATAAACTATGAAAATGGTTATCATCACTACCAAAGCATTACTTAAATAAAAGTACAATAAAAACTACATCTTAAAATCAAAAGCTATGAAATATTGAGGCTGAAGTTCTCGAAATCTAAACTACAAATTACCACAGAGTGTTATAAGACTATAACCATGGAGGTTTAGCAATTTTGCTTTTAAGCCTCAGTCCTGCACAAGAGGAGCTGCTTCAGATGACTCCTCGCCTTCGTCATTTCCATTTTCGTCTGTATCCGCAGCAGTAAGTTGATTACCATCATACTCTTGTACGCCAGCCTCTCCTCTCCTCTTATCACTCTCAGAAGGGTGTGCTAGGCAACCTTCTTCTCCTGCTTTGATTCCGAGAGGTAAAGCTGTAGCACCATCGTCAATTGCAACCACAGCGTTCAGCTTATCCAGCTCAACTTCGTCTTCCCCTTCACTGAATAATTGCAGATGAAAATAAGACTTTAACCATCTGTGTTACCTATCTATCTTTTCCTTCTTTAAATCTGGTTTAACGTAACGTGGTAAAGATATCCTCTATATCTTCACTTTAATTTTTTTTCTTTTCATTTCATTTTTCATTTCATTTCCGCGTGCTTCAGAAAATTAACACTTGCCAATGAAAAAATTATTGAAATTATAGGTGAAGTTTGGATACTAATCTACTGAACCCGTTTTTTCGACGCATCGATCCAGAGAGGAGATTTTATTAAAAAAAAAAAAACGATTGGATAAACCTCCTTTGAAGATAAACTAGCGCCGACTGCGTTTTTCGGCAATTTACGTCATATAAATATCGTGCCTCCTACGCGAGAAATGAAATACTAACCAAAACCATCCGAATTATTGTCTACAATCAATATATCAAGTAGTATTTTAAATCGGTCTTCAAGACTCCGAATGTATTTCAACTGTATTTTTTGTAACAGAGTGACGAAGGGCCAAAGCTTCTCTTTCTCTTTACGAGTATGCCACCCACAACCCAGCATACTGGTAACAAAAAAAAAAAGATTCTAAACAAGGTGTCAAAGCAAGTGAAGGACGGACGAATCCAAAACAGAAAGAATGTTAGGAAACATTTGACTGCCATTTGATTAGAGCGGCTTCGAAAACTGCTGCTGCTTCGAAAGAAAAAAAAACCTTTATTTTGGTCAGTGTGCTCATAATGGTAAATATAATCGGTACAAACTGAAAAAACTGCGGCACTTACTTATCACTACTTTACTGAGACTTATTCAAGAGTTAGAAACTTCGGTAATAACCACACGTTCAAACAGTGAGCATTAAAAAAAAGAGAATTCACTTACTTCGGCCTAGATGGCACATGAGGTGGGGCTATTATCAAAGGATATGTGGAAAGAGATGAAAGAAATCGCCTCCTTGTGAGTAAGAATGACATCATTAACTAAGTTAAAGTTTGCGACTCAGAAACCAAGTGTAACTTGTATTTGACTCTGTTGTCAAACAACAGGAGAAGGAATAAGGTGGGTTATCATGGTAATTAGTTTCATATAATTTGTAACGTTTTTGTAATTTGATTAGCATTGGGCTTTGCCGGGACTGTAGAGGGACCTTCAAAATCAGCGCTGGAAATGCAGAACATGACCTGCTTTAAATAGCCCCTTCGTGCTCCAAAACACTGACCTATTAAAAGCCACAATCTGCCGTATGAAGACATTTTATTTTTGTATGGTAACATTTTACCTGTCTCACGGCGTTTTTTAATGTATGAAATGAGCGCCAATAGAAAAACGACAGCAGCCAAAGGTCCCCCAATGTAGTACCACTCCAGTGAGCTGCTGGAGGAAGATGAGCTGCTGGAGGGAGCCTCTGAATTTCCTGAAACATAATAATAGAAAAAAGCTTAGTAGGAAAGTAATTTGCTGGTCGGCATTAAAAATAAAAACTAAAATCACCAACGATCCAGATAGCGACGATCCAACAATTTACTACAATTTAGACAACGATCCAACAATTTACTTTGTTCATTGCTCGCGTTGGGTGACGGGGAATTACCCATGGAAAAACAGACGCAGATGTGTTAATTTACAAAAAACAAGCAGATAGAAAGAGAAAGATTGGTGAAAGAATTATAGAATATGTTTAACATGTATAACATACTGCTACTGTTTCAAATTCGTTTTGAAACAGTTTTCTTTCAAATTTAATTAATTTCAAATTTCTAGTTCCCAGAAGATCAAAAAACCACTGGAAAAGTTTGTGAGGAACTTAAAAAGCGGAGGTGTATTTTATAATAATGACCTTACATAGTTAATTACTAAAATTATATGTAGTTCCTTAAACAGCTTACCTTTGACATTTACTATCACAACAGAGCGAGCCACAGTTCCTAGCTTGTTACGTGCTTCACAAGAATATTCACCACTGTCCTCTTCCACAACTTCAGTAAGAGCAAGTTTACTCTTTTTCTCGTCTAATCGTGTTTCTATAACTGCTCTTTCTGTTATTCGCTCTCCATCTTTTTCCCACATTACGCTTATTGTTTCTTCGTTGACTTTGCAGGTCAATGCCAGGGCATATCCTTTAATAAGTGTTATGTATTTCTCTGAAACAACTCGAGCAGAGGCTTTTCCTACGTTGAAAAAGGGACAATTCGTTAGAATGCTAGTGTCACATTGAAACTTCAACTGCATCAGAAACACCCCCAAAAAAAACAAAATAAAACCAAAACAAAACATGGAAACGAAACGAGTCAAATGCGACCTCTATAGGAATGCTTCGGACAGGTTGCTTTAAATGCATCTAAAATCCATCTTCCCTTGTTCTTTTTTCTTCACTCTTGTGCAAAAGGACACAACAAGTGAGTCATGCACAGCGGTATCGGGTGTGATTTCAAGTAGATGATCGTACGTCTAAATTGTAAAGTACTACAACAACTTCATTAGGTGGTTTTCTGTCGCTTCCTGAGGAGAGTGGACTTACTACATTTTCTCGAGTGGACTTACAACATTTTCTCAAGCTGACACGGTGAAATTTCCAAGGATAAATTTTGGATATCATAGACGGAACTAGAATCAAGAGCTGTTATCACAATTCAATCGATAGAAAATACTTCATGGAAAGTCTGTCCATACGGTATTTTACGCACGAGTTGGTAGTATCGGAAATCGAACAGGTGTGCGCAGCGAACCAATGAGATTTCTGGTACAAACCGACTCGCTGTTTTCTCTTTTGTGTTTTTGCTCTGCATGCTTTCTATTCCGCATAATTCTCCACAGAGGTTCCTCAGTCATCTTTTGTAAGTAATTTGGTTTAATAAACAGTCCTGAAAGCCGATTTTTATAATGTTACAGACGGAAACTATGCCAGTGAAAGATTAATAAGAATAACATACGCTTTATGGGTGAAAAAGCACGATACGCGGTTCCTCACACGTAAAAAAAGCGATGTGCGCCATTTGATTGCCTCTCGGCTTCTTGGACCAGCTTGGGAAGAAAATTTTACTTCATGCTTTTTCAGCGTGTAAATCCGTAAATCTTGACTCTGTGATATTCTCCATCCTCATTGGCTAAGTCACATTGCGATTTAAAAAAAGCCATAAATCAACTTTGTGGAGAGATCTAAGAGAATTGAGGATGCGAGGGAATTCTTTCGAATGCTTAATCGCTATTCGACCTCCGATTTCGGTCACGGATGGAAGCGTATTCGCTTTAAGTAGTTTCCTCTGTTTTAGTTTTGTTGTTCAATGTAGAGAATACAATTGTGTGTCGTATGTAACTTTGGCTTTTGCGTCTCGCTTCCTTTTTGCTTTCTTCTGAGATTCTGGATCTCTCCGTCTCGGAATTCTCTTCTTCAGATTTTTCCAGCTTGAAAGTACATTGCATATCGTCAAGTATTTCGAATCAATCAACTCTCTATAGTGCCATCACCTGTCCTTTTTCTTCAGCGTTTCTTTCCTACCCAGATCTACGCAGTTCTTTGCATGTGTAATCATAAAGATCCAAGGACATAAGTATTAAGCATTGATATCACCAGTTTTTTTGAAGGTCAGGCCCCGGTTGCTCGAAGGGTGGATAACACTATCCACTGGATAAAACTCTATCTGGCGGAGAACGCTTTTCGTTTTGCTACCACAGATTCACTGGATAAATATTTAGCCGTTAGATAGCGTGATCTGCCCTTTATACAAGTAGGCCGAGTTTACCTAAATTCTCTTCGCGCTATTCCTTTTCTCCGTCGCTATTGCCCATGGATTTACAAGTTCATTTTTCTGTCTTTATTTCTTCTCTCCCTATTTCTCTTATTCGTCTTCAACTTTATCATCGTCATTATCAACGTCACCATCGTCGTCGTACTCATTATCATCATCATCATCATTAATATCCTGATTATAACTGAACTTACCATAAACACGCAGAGTTGCTGAGGAACTGATTGTGTTTGCCTTGTTTTTCGCTGTACACTTGTAAGTCCCATTCATCTCTCTCGTGACACTTGGCGAAACTAGGATTGATCCTCCTTCGTAACCGGTTTGATTGATACCAGATGGCAGGTCACCATTATTAAAAGTCCAGACTAAGGTTGGTGTTGGAACACCTGAAGCTACGCAACTAAGGTTTACAGGGTATTCTTCGGTAACAAATTGGCTTATCGGAGGCTCGGTGATCTGGAGAGAGACTTGAAGTAAAAAGATCACCAAGCTAAACAAAGGGTCGCATTTTCCATTTTAACCCCATCTGCCCCCTTCCTTATCCAACCCTAAATTAACTAGTTTCAAAATAAAAGCAAATTACGTTATTGCCAAGTCTATTTTTAATCCAAGGTTATTTTGAAATTAGTTTTCTTCACTTTTGATATAGGAAGGTATAAGTCAGCCCAATGTGACATCAAAACATTCTTTTATTTCCTTAGAAGATTTCCTATCTTAATAACAGCCCAGGAGTTAACAACTTAGTTACCTATTTATTAATTTCTTCATTCTTTTCTTACTGGTTGTTAGGTGTAATATCAACACCATGGTCAAGAGTACCAGTTTCTCTAAGTTCAAACTACACATTTACTTTGAAGAATAGCCAAATAGTAATGGTTAAAAGGTTTGCATCAATGAAAAATTTACATGGATGTTTCGCTTTCCAACTTCAGTAATAAATACTTAAATAATAATGCACTGATAGCCAATTTGACATTTTTGAACTTCTAAAAATGTACATGAAATCATGACTTGTCAGCCATTGTTATTTAAGAAGCAGAAAAAGGGTAATTGAAAAAATTAAACGGACTTTTATAATAAATGCCGTGACAAAATATAGTGATATCTATAAAGTCAAAATTTCTCGACGCTCCAAAAAGCAATCAATTTAACTGCCCAAAAATTAATTACATGTCTGATCACGAAATTCATTTACATTCGATGTATAAGTTGGCATGTTCTCGCTCTTTAAATGTTATCATCAATTAAGTACTTTTTTTAATATTTTTAATCAATTTTGAAACTTTTGGGGTTTCAAGTCCTTAAATTGCATTTAGTATCATAGAAAAGATTTTATCCTCATCCAACAAAAGATCTAAATTGATTATCGACTCAAGTTCTTTCTGTATGTAAATAAGAACCGTACCTCCCGCCACTTCGATCCAGAAAGTTGAGTTTTTGCTTCCTTCGCTGTTTTTGGCGCTGCACGTGTATTGACCAGCATCTCCATAACTCACTCGATTAATTGTGAGAGTGTTGTTGTTACCAAGATTCACCCCATCTTTCGTCCAGAGTATCTCAGGTGTAGGGAAACCGCTTAGAGAGCAAATGAACTGAAGCGACGAGTTATAGGCAACCGACTGATTCTTGAGCTCAGGATTAATTTCAGGAGGACCTGGGCATAGAATTCAAAAGCACAATTCAAAAAAGGTGAAAGTTTGAAAAGAACAACAGATAATGAGAAGAGCAATAGAACTAAAATAAGTAAGTCAACATTTATTTTTCCATTCACTGTTTTTAGCGCTGCATGTGTATTGACCAGCAACGCCATAAGTCACTCGATTAATCGTGAGCATGTTCCTGGTATCAAGTAACTTTCCATCTTTTGTCCAGTTCACCTCTGGTTTAGGAAAAGCCCCCACGAAGCATTGAATTTGAAGTGTTGAATGTAACTTGACAGACTTCTCTCGCCGAGAATTTATTTCGGGAGGACCTTTTTAATTTTGACAAGAAAAATAATGATTTATATAAAACTTGATCCCCATTCCCTCCTATATTTTCTCCTTTTTCTTTATTTGATTTTTTATTCTCCTCCTTGCATTATCACACACGTAAATATTTTTATTCCCACCGCGCATTTCCTCAGATTTGGAAGTAGGCTATGAAAAGTTAATATTGACCAGAACTGAAATCTTTTTCTATCACTATTTGTTTCATAGAACCCCCGTTATTTATGACTTTATTTCTCAAGAGAATGTGTTTTTATTTGCTATTTATTTCCATTAGATCATGAAAATAGGTCCTGACAAGTTTTTTTGTTTCGTGACTCCCAAAAACTGTGTTTGCGACAACATCAATTGAGAAATTCCCTTGTAGCCTTCTACCCGCAGAAGGCAAATCCATATATTGAAACGTTCTTAGACCTCTGTAAACTAGAGACATTGCGTGATGTTGAGGGGTCAAATATTTACACTGAATCTGTGACCCTCAAACGGATCACGTACTCGTACATGTAACGTCCGGAAAATGTCACGCATGTATAACACCGTAGGCACACCTAGCGAATTCTATCCACTGGCTTCAATAGTAAAGAGACGACTTATTTGTTATACGTATATGAGCAAGCTTATTTACCCTACTTGAAAAATTCCATGATGAAGTCTACTATTGTCAGACGAAAAGTGTGGGGGATAAATACAAGTTTTACTTTCTCAGTTCGTGCAGTGATGCTCACTGGCTTGTTCCGTCAAAAACGCTTTTAATGTGAAGTCACGTCGACCTCGACAGAAAAATTAAGCTCACCCTGTCATAATCAATGGCTTGATACCGTAAGTATCAATTTAGGTACATCATTAGGCTTTGATCACAATAATGAAAAAACTGTGCTTTTCCTCACGCTCGCCACATTTATTCTTTGGAAAACTATTTTACTGGGGGGCGATGTCGTTTACCTTGGCACGTCTTGACTCTCACCGACGAAAATTATCGAGGTGAACCCCATGAAATTCTTGTCAAATGTTTTAAAAACTTTGTTTACCCCTGATTTGCATGCAGAAAAAAAAGGCAAACTCCGAACGGTATTTCAAAACATTTTATTAATTGGTCAATTTATGAACTGTTTTATGGCAGCCCGAGGAAAAAGGCAAAACTGAAACCACTGGCGTATCGGTCAAATGAATTCCAATTTTTTCAGCAAGGAGTTGGTAAGTTCATTTTTCCCGGTAAATTTAAGTGGGGGTCAATTTTTGGTGACAGCCGAAGATAGACGTCTCTGAAACGTCTCTGAAACTCTTAAAAAGTTTACAATTACATTGTTAATCCTATGTAGTGTAGGTGTATCAGTTGTATTACGTCTTCATAGTGATGCCATATCAGAAATCGAGTGTCTAAAAAGCCCTCAATTCAGCCCAACACTCGAATTGATAGATTTACGATGGTGCAGTTGTCTTGTTCATTTGTAACTAACTTTAGAACCAAATCTCGTGAACAAAAACATTCGATAAACAACCATACATGACATGTTTGGATCATTTAACAAAATAAAATATGTAAGACAGTGGTGCAGTCTGTATTTCTCCCTTTCTCTATAATTACTTTCAATGCTTATGTTAACATTTGGTTACGGTAAACTCATTAAGTTGGTATTTGGCGCGATGCCCCAGGGTTTGCAATAAACTTATCGAGACACGCTTTTGAGAGCAAAAATATAATTTGAAGACGATAATGCGATGGGAATCCGTGCCAGTCTGTCTTTACCTTTATTCCCATGTTGATGGTTTCCAGACAGACCCCGTCCTTTATGTGCAAACACTCTGGCGTGCATAATCAGTTAATGAACAAATTCAAAATACACAAACTATAGTTTAAAAACAACATTTTAAGCCCCTCCTTTTTAGGAACAAACCGTAACAAATTTAACTTATGAGTCTTAGTAGCTTTTCAAGCGAATTATGCAGCAGAAAAGGCCTTCCTAAAAACTCACTCTCACCTTCAGATCGGGTAAGATTGAAATGGCCTGCTCCTTATTGGTTCCCTAACCAACATCAAGGACCAATAGGAATAATGGAAACCCGGTCCTCAAGCCAAACGATCTACGTATAAAAAGGTCACAGAAGCAATTTCCACTCGGGAACGGAATTGAGAACACCACTCTACCTTTCCCTGAAAGACCTTGCTCTTACAACAACATCTTCAAACAACAGCTGAAGAGACTCGTGAAGAGTCGAAACCGTCGATATCGTTGTAGCCACTATAAACAGTTGCACCAATGTCCGCCTTTGACAACTCTCTAGCGGAATACCTTACACAAAGTCTTGGTGAAGAAGACGAAAACGATATCTCACGAAAAAAAACATGTAAATTGGCAACCGCTCAAAGAAAAGCACTCGGCAAACATTATAAAAAAAAACAGTGACAAAATAGCCAAATTAAGGAATGAGATTTCTGACTTAAGAGTCTATTTATATACTTGCAAATAAAATAGGTGGAAAGTATAAGTGTGCTTGTTAAGCAGTATACTATCTAGATTGACGATGAATAAACACGTGGGCAGACATTATGAACTAATTTATTCACACCCCCGAGCACGCATTGATACGGGAACTTTAGAATGTGATGCAATCATGTGCGAGTAACGCAACGGTGACATGACATCCCCCTCGTCAAAAAAATAATATACAGAGAGAGATATGCAAATACAAACAAATAGTGTCTCCGGAGTTCAAGATAAAATTAATGTGACCCATTGTTCAATAATGACAAATTAATGACAAGAAAAAGAAGAAAAATGTTCCAAAAGGAAGGCACTGACAATATGGAGTGCTCTTGTAAGGTTGTACTCTGTTAGCCCACATTCTAGTAAAGTTCGTTGTCATTAAACTTCTTTGGCTTTCGGGTCATTGTCTGTTAAACAATTTACTGGGATGCCGTGGCGGGCAAAGTGGACTTTGGTGAGCACGACGATGGTGGTAGATTGAGTGTTAATCAGCTGGTCCAACTCATAGAAATCACTGTAATGGTCTACGGTGACTAGGTACTGGTTATGTTGGAACTCAAATATATCTTGCGAGATGAACTGCCAAGGTCGTGTAGGGACAGGAGGGGATAGTATGGTCAGTGGCGGCTTGCTTTCCACACTGGGAGCAGGTAGGGCATGACTAAAAACATGCTTCTATGTGAAACGAAGTCAATATTCTACTCCTCTATGGCAGTAGTGGATTTTGCTATTCCTTCCATGCAGCTTGTGGATGTTTTCTTCCAAGGTGGAGATGATATTCTTGATGATATGGACATCGAATGGCTTTATTGAGGGTCTGAGAAGGGTTTAAGCAGCTCCGTATTTTCCCGGTTTGGTGAGGGTTGGTTCTCGCTTTCGGTTCAGATATCCTTACCAGCTTGCCAGTGGTTTCATACGCATCCAGGGCCGCTTTGATCGCATCCAGCTTTGAAATCGGCTCGCAGTGATTGGGGGCATGGATGGGTTTGACATCTGGATCCTGGTTAAGACCGACAGGTGGGCAGCGGAAGCTTAGACCTTGAAAAAGTGAGCTCCAGTTCTTGGAAAGGAATTCCGGAGTTCAAGTCCCTGGAGTAGGCCAGACTCGCATTGACGTATCTGGGGGTGGTGGAGGGGGCCCAGCTGCTTATACCTGATGGCTGTCAGGTTCAGTCGTTAGTGGCTGGGGAGGGTTACTTGTGGAACATTTCCTTATGAAGTCCGCACGTAGAGGCTTGGAGGGCAAGTTGACCAATGGGTCTGATTGGTGGACTGTCATACAGTAATTGATGGTAGAATCTTGGCCCAAGGCATGCTGGAGAGGTGGCAGGATAGAAATGTGTTTCAAGAGACTGCAGAATCTATTTGGAAAGGAATTTGCGCTCTGCAGTTTGAGTTTGGTTTCTCCAAAAGAAGCAAGACGAAATGACCTTTGTCAGAGGATGGGGCCGTTGTAGTGACGCCAGTGTTAGGGGTTGCCCGCTTGAGAGGGTGAAGCAGTTCTCATACTGTATGCCTTCCTTGGGAAGGGTGTAGAAGTGCTCTTCTTGTTCCACCAATCTCATGTGTTCCAGTCTGGGACTCGGTGGGGTAGGTTTATGGGAGGCAAGTTTGGAGGCTCGGTTGTCTTTGGCTACTTGTTGACAGACGCTTGCAAAGTGATCAGTTTTGTGAGAGCAGCTACAAGTCTGGCCTGAAGCTAGGCATATGTCACGGTAGTGTTGCCACTTGATGCCACAGAAAAAGCAAGATCTGTTAGGGTAGGTTCCAGGTCTTGGTTTGCCCGGAAGTTTTTTGACCAATTTGTGCGCTGTCGTGGAAGTGGGAGAGTGAACTTGTTCTTCTGTGGTGGAATTAACCAAAAGCTTGTTTGTATGTTATGCCCCCTCAAACGATATAGCTTGATTCACCACGAAAGTCGAGGTTAAAGGGGGATCCTCCGGTTTCCGTTGGCCATATTTGTGAAATATGTTTTCTCGGGGCGATTGAAGAACTCGTTGAGACCGAAGAGAAACTTACCCCTAATAAATGCTTCCGCGTTCACGCCAAACGATCATCGCCCGGCGGCAGTATGTACAGCGTTTCTTACATTGAAATGGAGGTTTGGTCTGCTTGTGACATTTTTGCTCAGAAGTGGTAGCGGTCTTGCATCAAACTACATGCACCAGTGTAATGTTCTTTGATTTTTTGAAGCCAAATCCAGTGTTTTCCAGCATCATCGTTCGGTATCTTGGAAGCTATTTCGCTGTGTAGGGTGTCCCACTCAGTTGCAGGAATTGTTAACTCGAAGGGTCTCCTAGCGACGATGTAGTGGTCCCCAGTTTCGGTGAGTCTACTTTTAGCGGGGTTTCTGTAGCCTTCGAGTAAATATTAATCATGAAATCTGGTCTCCCAGTAACGGTTATGGTCACAGTTTGGTTGCACGGCTTGTACATCGAGGATAGACTTTTCGTGCTTCGGCATGGTGCAATTGTGAAATATTGATGAAGATTTGAGATGTAGCCGAGGAAGCTATTCAGTGGTGCAGTTGTGTCTACGAGAGGCTGGCTCGCTGTAAAAACTGGTCCTGACACCATGTTAAGCAGTATACTTTTCAGTATTACAGTATTTCTTGTCGAAGAATGAACACACGCGCAGCCATGATAAACTCATTTATTCACACACGAGCGCACGTTGATACGGGAACTTTAGCTTTAAACTCTAAAAAAGCTGGCTTTAACAACAGCGGAAACAGAACAAAAAGCATAAGACGCAAAGAGCGTAGACACGCTTTAAAATATAGGCTTTCAGCCAAAGAAAGGGAGACAAATGAAACATTCCTAAATTATCTCACAAACTATCAAATTTTTGACAGACAAGTCAGCATGCTATCAAAGGTCTCAAATTCATTTCGATGCCCGTGACAAACGAATGTAAAATTAGGCAACAACTCTTGCAAGAACTTGAACAATTTGCATTGCTTCCACTGACAAAACAAAGAACCACATCCGTTTCAGGTTAATTCCAACTGGATTCCACCGGTTCAGCCTTCTATTGCCCTTGAGAGCAATTAGGAAAATGTCAAACCACAACTTGCAGAGGTTACTGTAACTAAGCCAAAAAATAATTCGTCGCGCAATGAGGTTGTGGCTTTAAAAGAGTTGAAAAGCCATTCTGTGTTAAACCTCAAAAAAGTAGACAAAGGTATAACAGTCATCACGAATAACCACAACCTCTCAAAGCACCGATAGTGAAAAACATGCAGAAAAGGGTTAATGAGATCATTGAAAAAATGCGTCAGGGCAAACACATTGATGACATGACCAAGAGATGGCTTTCACAAACTCCCAATCCGCTTAGAATACCAATATTCTATAAGCTCACGAAAATACACGTACCGGTCGGTAGATCTATAATCTCAGGTTGCCACGGCCCTACCGAGAGAATACCCTCTTTCGTGGAGACACTGTCCCAGCTTATGTTGCAATTGCAACAATCCTATACGAAGGATGCCACTGCTTTTTATCATTTTCATAGAAAAGACAAAGGTAGGCAGAGATACTATTCTAATATCAATGAACGTTTCTAGCTTGTACACAAATATACCTCAAGAAGAAGGAACGAAGCATACGAAAAGTTCAACAACCATAACGCACCGATCCCAACGCATTACCTCAGGGAAATGCTTGGCTTAATCTTTCAAGAAAATTTGTTTCAATTCAATGGGGAGAACTTCTCCCAAACGAAAATGGGCAGTGTCATTTGCCAGTATTTCCATGGCGGAAATTGAAATGAAATTAATCCAATAAAGCGAAACCAGGCCAAGAGAATGGAAACCTTACGTTGATGACACCCTTAGGGATTAAAACAGAGAAGAAATACATGATTCATTAAACGAGCTAACTTTTTCCATCCTACTATCAAATTCACGGTAGAAATAGCAGAGAACCAAATCTCATTCCACGATACCACAGTGTTTAGAGGAGAGATTCGCAAAAAATCCAACTTGGACATCAAAACCCATTACAAGGCGACCGAGACCTTCCAATCTACGCACCTCGCTTCGTGCCACCCATCAGGCGTTAAACATGGTTTCATTAAAGGCGAAGCAATCAGATTGCTTAGAACAAACTCTCCGAAAGAAATATTAGAGGAGGGCCTTCTAAAATTCAAACAACGCTTCAAAACAGGAGGGTACCTAGAAAATATCATAGAAAGGTCTCTGTCAGGGGTCAACTTTGCCTCTAGGCAATTGGCTCTTACACATACACAAAAGCCAAAAGGTCACAACGTACACTCGGCAGTTAAAAATTTAAAACAAATATCGATGGAACATCGGAGTCAGCCCTTGCTGATAGCAATCTTTACAAAACCTCCGATCATCTCTTACACAAAGAGAAAGTCACGCTTGTGAGAGGAAAATTTTAATTTGAAGGTTACAATGCAACGCGACCACAAAAGCCACATGGAGAGTCCATGCCAATCTGTTCTCACCTTTATTCTCGGGCTTAAAAAACCTCGAGTGACATGATTTGGGCGCTACTTAGTACTGAGAAAATGATAAAAAAAAGTAGGCGTTACAGATAAATTAAAATCTGGGATATCGGTTGGTATGGCTTCATTTCTCAGGGCAGGGAAATTTTTTAGTTATCTATGGGTTTACAGGGACAATAGTCGATAGGCTTTTGACCAATAAGAGCGTACGTATGTATGTAACAGACTGATTCTTGAGCCCAGGATTAATTCCAGGAGGACCTGGGGATGGAATTAACAAACACAATTCGAAAAAGATGAAAATACGAGAAAAAAAAGGAACAGAAAATGAAAAGAGTAACTTGAAGAGAAAAAGTAAAGCTTGCTTCATTTTTTCCTTCACTATTCTTAGCGCTGCATGTATATTGACCAGCGTGTTCATAAGTCACTTGTTTAACGGTGAGCTTGTTCGTGGTATCAGGTAGCTTTCCATCTCTCGTCCAATTCACCTCACAAGACAGTTCACTTGAAGGATTGAATTAAATTTGACAGACTTCTCTCGCCGAGAATGTATTTCAGGAGGACCTTTTTAATTTTGAACAGGAAATAATGATTTATTTAAAACTTGATCCCTATCCCCTCCCCCTCTACTTCTTTTTAACCTTCGTTCAGAAACTTGGTGCAACTCTCTTTCTCTCCCCAGCTCTCCCCTGCTGTAGAAATCAAAGTTTGTAGCCATGATTTTCACCTAGGAAAAATACTTAGCACCGGCTCGCGAAAATCACACCTGTTTTACATGAAACTATAATGATCTTTCTTTTCCTGCTAAAGAAAAATTGCCTTTCTTTCTTTGTGACAAAATGTATATCTAGCGTCTAATCGGTTATAATGAAACTCCTGCAGAAAAAATTAAATGTTTTTAATTGAGTGCGAGCCATGTTTTTTTTTTTTTTTTTTTTTTTAACAAAGAAAAGGGGGGTAAGTTTCCAAAATCTCGAGGTCTTATCAACGAAGTCGAAAACGTAAAATAGCTACCATAAAGATTTTCTAAGCTAACGTTTCGACCGTTAACGCCTCGTCAGAGCTACCACTCGAAACGTCAACTTTGATAATTTTTACGGTGGCCGATCAAAATTACCAACTCTGTTAGTAAAACCAAAGTCTATTAAACAAAGAGTTTGACGTTTAATAAAAGGACAGTTGAAGAATATCTGTGCAGCATTTTCTACCAAAAAATGAATCCTTTACTTTCTCCTCATACATAAAATCACTTACAGTTACAAGGCCGTGATTCCTGAGTTCTTGAGCAGTTAAATTCTAGAAGTAAGGTTATCCAGATAATCTTTTAAAAGTAATAAACGGTTGGAGATTAAGTCATCTTATTTCTGTTAAAGAAAACATCGCTTGAAAATAGCTGCTGGAGGTTCCTGCTTAATTATCATGGCAATAAAGCGGGTAAGTTTCTAAAGAAACTGGTGCTGCGTCGGTGGGAGAGTATAGCAGTTAATTTAGTGTTAATAACTGAGTTGAAAACGTAAATTAAAGTAAATGTGAGGAAAGACCGTAGACTGTCATATGCTGTTTAGAATGATTAGGGATTATGATTATGGCAGTCTGTGGCCTTTCCTTACATGTGGGCGGTTCGGAAAGCCGCAAAACACTAGAACAAAAATTTATCTTCCAAATCGGCACCCTTAATCCCCACGGAATCAACGAGCGCTTTTAATTCAACTAGTTTACTTCTGTTTTCTCGTCACCATATTCCCACCAATGGCGTAGCTCCACTTTCTGCATATAAACCCACACACAACCCACAATTCCTGCAATCGCTCTGACGAAGGGCTAACGCTCGAAACGTCAGCTTTTTTACCCTTTACGATGGCTGATTTACTTTTCCAACTCAGTTTTTAACACTAAATTACCTGCTATCATTGCAATATATACATAAGAATTTATCCATTTGAATAAAAGCTTATAAATGCTGTATAGCTTTTTGAAGTTGTAAAACAATGGCGAAAACCAGCCATTGCACTTTTGAGTCACAGATTATCAAAAACTCCCTCTTGTCACTTACCGACTCTTTGCCGGTACTGGTTGCATTCTTTGCAGACACTCCAAGATGACCACGCCATACAACCTTTGAAAAGATTAAGTTTTGCGCAAAGAATCATATGTTATATTATCACTCTACCTATGCTATTTACTTCCTTTGCTGCATTAATCTGCTGCTTGTCACAAAGGATACCAAAATACGTAACTATTAGAGTCGATATTCCCAGTTTCTAATTTCCAAGGAGACTTCCAACTAACATCTTCATGTTAAAAAAGATTGATGGCTTGAAGCTTTTAATCACCCAAATTACAGCTCCCTATTTATAAGCCTCATTCGTGTTCTCTCAACATCTGTCACGGATTTATTATTTATAAAGACAAGGAAAATGACACTGTTTTGTATTGCTCAAATGGATGACTGTGCAAAAATTTTAAAAGAAATAAACTAGGATTTTAACGTTGTCAGTTTTTGATTTTCAACTTCACTGTAAAAGTTTTACCAGTCGAAGGCCGAGGCCTGAAACATTGAAATTCACTTCATTTCTATGCAACTTCAAATTCACTTCATCTCTATGCAACTTCAAATTCACTTCATCTCTATGCAACATCTTTGTCCATAAATCGAATGATACTCAGAGAAGAGTACCCTGTCCGAATCCCTCTATTAAGATCCATTCGTTTGTTCAACCATCTTTATCGACCCTTTATCCTGCCTACTGATAAATGATAGTTCAAGCATGGCTACTTACAATCTGTTATATCAGTTCGGATGAGGATGTTAGGTGAACATGAAAAGAAAGATTCACATTCGGTGAGTTAATAAGTGGCTTAATATAGCCTTGGGATACTTGACTACACACATCATTAGCTTAACAAACAAACTGAACTCGTCGCACTCACCCGCTTATGAATCCGGGAAGAACGTCGTGAAAGAGAAAAACGATTTTGAAAAGATGTTAATCCATTATCTATTCATTTGTTTATTTGAACCAACCAGTTTGTTTAACTTGGTATGCCAATATTTTAGAATTTGTTAAATCAAACAAACAATCAGCCAAATATGACTGATATCTGATGATAATTATACAAATATCGTTTATTACAGAACTTAGGTACTGATTTTATACTAATATTTTTCACATCAGTAAAATCGTTTGGATAGTAACATTGTAACATTTACAGCTATCACTAACTGTCATTGATAAACACGCAGATAATTCTTTACTATTTACGATTGCAATTTGCCGATCAGTAATCAGCCGGTGCAGAGAGTCAATAGTGTATATTAAGCCACAGGAGAGTTCTTTATTTATAGGAACAAATGATATTGATAGTTACCTTCTTTTTGGGCTAGACAGAAAAGATGAGATAAGAAAGGAGGAGCAGTTAATGATCTAAATAACATAGCTTAAGTTATGAAATAACAATTCATCGTAAAACTCTACCCCCCTTTTTTTTTAGGAAAGGAATTAGGTTCCAGTACTTTCTCAACACATGGAAAGCGAACATTAGCGCCTAAATTTATATTTCCCAGGAAAGGATGTGATGTTGGAAAAAGGTTCTTCAGAAACTTAAGAGAAAATTATCAAGGATGGGTTGCATTTCTAAATTTCTGTTTAACCTCGTTCACGCCGGTTTCGCGTTAAGGGTTTGACTGATTTTATGCGTGATATGACCAGCCCTTGAATTACTTGTGTTAAACTTTGTTTTATTTCTGTTCTGCGTTTGTCAGGCCTTATAATGATCCTATGGTAGACACCGTGAACTTTTTTGTTTGCGGTCTTGGACGAGATTCAGTCGCTATTAGGAGGTAGAGAAAGTTAGCATTGCTGAACCGAATGTTCCTCATCAGCTGTCACTGGCAGATCACAGGATGAGGGGCCAGTTATGGAAGTCTTTACCAATAACTATAATATAATTTACAGTAAGCACGAGTTGAGCTCAAAATTCTAAATAAAGCATAAAAGTAAACTTAAAACACATTGATGGATGTCAGCGTAAATTTCATTGGTTGAAACTTTATTATTGTAAGCGAAAGCGATTTTAAATGGAGTTTTCAGAAGTAATCCTTGGTAACATCGGATTTTTGCTACGCCTCGTCCTGCACTACAGCTTCTCAGCAAATTTGATTTTACATGATCCTGGATGCCAAATGTTTGCTTTGAATATTAGATTCTTGAGGCTCCAATGATTTTTCGTTGTTCTGATTCGCTGTGGCTTTGTTTTTACAACACTTAATCGACATGCACTCCGAAAAGAGTAAACAATTCATACGCGGTCCGGTTGTAAATGAGATCTTAAGTACTAAAGGAAAGTTTAATTGTCTTGAGAATGATTATTAAGAATAAGCATTGCGCGAGAAAAACTAAATTCAACTTACCAGCTAAGTGACCGCAGAAGTGGCATGTAAATAAAAGTTATAAAAAAATATAATTAAAACGTGCATCTGTTGCTCAAAACATTCAGTTGATTATTGAGAAATGCTATGCACTTTTTCTTTCGTTTATCACCTGTACTTTAGTTAAATATGTTAACGTAAACGTACTGTAAAGGTGCCATGCAAATAAATATGCTTTAAATCACAACGGAACATGTACTTACGTCCTGATCGTTTTTCACAATTGCCAAGGCCAAGGAATGATGGAAAAAAATACATCGAGAACAGAAAAATAAATAAAATGAAATTATTTAACTACCAAGAGCGTTGATATTCATTAATCAGTCGGCTAAGACCTCTGCTCAACAAATAGTTCTGATATGAAAGTATTTTCATGATTATGACTTTAATTCTCATAATCAGTTTCAAGTAACTAACACCTCAATTTTACAGTCTACCACAGATAACATTAAATCTTTTCGTAAACTGAGCCATTGAATCAAAATTGGATCCTTATCTTCTTATGGTTCATACTGAATAAATATTCCCACAAGAGCCTAATTCAAAATGACCTTAACAAGTTTCCAACCATAACTTAGGAAGCAAGGCGAATATCAGAATGCTATGTTTATTGATGATCATAATTTCTCATCCATAATCATATTAATAAAACGAAAATTGTAGCTTTCATTATTACAAAAGTAAGCGGCAGTGACACAAATATGTTACATGACTGTTACTGCAGTAGTCAAAAGACATGTGAAATCCGCCAAATAACTATAAAAAGAAAACGTACTTACGATCTGTTTGCCCGTTAAGGTAGGAAATAAGAAAAAGAGATATGTTAGTTGGTGATGCACATTTGTTATTGCCTACATTGTTCTTAAGTTCGGTATCGTTAAGCAAAAGTGTCTTGTTAATGGAACAGTCAGTAGTATGACTAAGCATCCTACTACACTTGCCACAACTGTTGGGTATTTCAAATGGTTACCATATTGGTAGTCAATGGGGAAGTCTGACCGGTTAAAAGTCTTTAACATGCTCTCAGCCACCAATAGTAAAAAGGACATTTTGCCAAAGTATAACTCTTGGCCGCAATCAAAAATATTGGTTGGGGCGAAAACTATACCGGTTCATTGTAAATAAAGCTTTTTCTTTCACAAATTTACTCTTCCGCAAAAATGATGATAATTCTGAAGAGAGTCTAACACATGATGACTGTCGAAAAGTACCTGGTTTGCAAGAAATGTGAAAATGAATGAGGAAAAGTAAAGAAAAAGCTACTTACGACTTGTTATGCGAATGCGACCTTGGTGAACCCGATGGAAAAGAAGAGAAAATGAATCAACTGAAATTCACGATCAGTTTAAAGCCGTTGTGAGATACTGTGTACTAATTGACTGTGTGGGAGGGCCGGATAGGAAGGTATTCAACTTGCCTCAAGCAATTCCAATCCTATAGAAAACATTACCTTAACTAATAGCTATTTAGAAGGAATGAAAATGTTACTTACTGTCTAATTTCCCAAATTGGGGTCAATGTGCAAGATTTAAAGGAAAATGCAAGAAGAAAGAAAAGGAAGTAAGTATAGTAGAGTACAAATGCAATTTGATAAATACCTATAATCATTAAATACAACCCCCAAAAAAGGAAATTTTAATCTTCAGATGTTTTGTGAAGTAGATTGCATGATAGCAATCAAAACGTATGCTTTTTAGCATAATTTTTAAACTGTCTGTGTCTGTGCTATTCTGAGAGCAACAAAGTAAACACAACTTGAATTGTTTCTTAATGTAATGAATTGTAAAAACCTTGAAATATTTACTCTTTTCGAAATAAAATTACTCGACTCGACTTGTTTGTAGCAATGTTGTGTAGTCAGTAACAATTATTTCAACTGATAACTATTAAGCAACGAAAACATCACTTTCTTTCTGATTTGTCAAATGAGGGATGGTGCACCAGATTAAAACGAAAATGAATAAAAAAAATATTAAAAAAAGTAAAAGCACTTAAGTATGTATCAACCACAAACTACAAGTAGTCAATGAAACTCAATTATCAATCACGAACAGGCAGGCAAATCTCGTGCCTCATTTCACATGTTGAGCGATGTCAATCTAGATATTCCACTTGAAACCGTTATCTTTACCGATGACAAGAGAAAATTATCAGACAAGGAAAACGTTACTCCGGATTAAAAGGAAAAAGAAGAAAACCAATTAAGAAAGTAAACACTCTAAAGCAAAAACTACAATTAGTTTATAACAAAGAATTCTCAAATGCAACACGAAGAAGATATATCTCACTATTTATGTGTTTTGTATCGCAAAGTGCTCTATAATAATTGAGACGTGGTAGCCTCAATCAAATAAAAAGGAAAAAGGCTAAAATCAGCTCGAAAAATGCACTCCCAAAGAGTCTCTATCACAGTAACAGAATGCGATGGATTTTAATCAACTACAAACTACAAGTAATCAATGAAACTCAGTTATCAGTTACGAACAGGAAGGCAAATCTCGTGCCTCATTTCACTTGTTGAGCGATGTCAATCTAGATATTCCAATTGTTTCGAGCAAGTTAAATGTAATAGAAACCATGAACACCGATTTACTTAGACATTAACCATTATCTTTACTAATGAAAAGAGAAAATTATTACACAACGAAAACGTTAATTACGCGCTGATTTGACAAGTGAGGGTCAATGCACCAGATTAAAAAGAAAATGAAGAAAACAAATAAGAAAGTTAACACTCTAAAGCAAAAACTACAATTAGTTTATAACATAGAATTATCAAATGTAACACGAAGAAGATATATCTCACTATTTATGTGTTTTGTATCACAACGTGCACGAAAATAATTGGGAAGCCTCAATCAAATAGAAAGGAAAAAGAAACAAAAGACGGAAAGCAAAAAAAAAGCAAAACCACGACTAAATTTAATTAATAAAACCCAGATATCCATGAAAAACAGGGAATTTAATTTCGTTCCTTTGAGGCGAGGTGTATTAGCTTGTATTAGTACCACAAGGGAAGTATTCTTTCTTATATCATTGTACTGCCCAGGGCTCACTGAACTCTGCCATTTTCCTTCCAAAATACAGATCTTGCAAGAGACCATCCTGCACCGATCCTGCGGTGACTGTTACTGCAGTTATAAAATGGCTCCAAACTAAGCACAGTTATGCGTTTCGAGATCTATGGAACTGTTGACAAACTCTTCAATTGAGGTAGCTGTACAAACAGCTTTACAGAAACTGGAGAACGACCCTAGCCCACCCAACTTCATGGCACTAGTACCAGGTCAGATCGCGGACCTCTTGAGCCTGGAGATCTAAATACTTTCACTATAGCAGATCAATTCACAAACAGACAGTCGCAGTGACATCATCGAGAGGACAAAAAAAAGAATAGTTTTTCATCTAAACGGTGCTTTCACTCCGATGACAAACCGTGACCTTTCTTTCGTCTTAAGATGCCGCTCCCTTGAAAATACATGGAGGATTAGGGGTAGGGAGGAAATCCATATGACCCAAATCAAGTTCTGGCTTTTTCATTACAAAATG